CATCGCCACGGCTTTGCCATCTGACCCCCGCTCCAAAGGCCCAGGCCACAGAGGAGAATCTTTCCTAGGGTGGCCACCTCACCCAGGTTCTGTGGGACTTCCCTGCTTTTAAAACTGAGGGTCCTGCTTCCTAAAATAATCCCAGCACTCGGGAGGCTGAAGCAGGAGGATCGCCATGAGGTTGAGGCCACCTAGGCTACATAAGGGAGACCCTGTCTCAAAAAAACAAACAAATGAACAACAGAATCTCGTGTAGAGTGATCATCTGACCTGCAATTCCACAACTAGTAATAGACGCAAGAACCAAAAACGTGTGCACATCACGACTTGTCCTCAACACGTGACAGCGTGACTCAGAACAGAAAAAGGAGGACCTCGCATTAACCCCTGGGGAGCGGACGGCTCGCGGGCTCTGTTTGCACAGGCAAGTGCCGCTTGGCCACCAGAGGGGGGCGTTCTGGTCTGTGTTACAGTGTGTGTGACTCCAAGCTGTGATGCTAAGGGAGAGAAGCCAGTTACAAAGACACAGACAGTCTGAGTCCATTTATATGGGGTTTTCAGAGTAGAAAAATCTACAGCATGTGTCTGTACATCTGTAAGTGTCTTTTTATGTTCTTGGTTTTTTAGATGGAGGACCACAACGCCGGTAAAGCTGTCTCTCCCGGGAACTTTCCAGACCCTGGAAGAGATCTGCTCCCCGAGGCTGTTGGAACTTTCTTCTTCTCCCAGTTGAGCATTTTCCTAATGCGCTCTTTTTGTTGCTAATGACTGCTAGTTAACTTTGCCAGGGTGTTTGGAGCGAGGGGTGGCCCTGAGACCTTCTTGGCTGGAGGAAATCTGAGCCTAAGCATAGATTCTCCCGAGAGCAGAGGCAAAGACGTTTCCAGAAGGCCTGGCCCTCAGAAGCGCGGACTGTGTGTGAACCGCACCTGAGCGCTGCTTCTGTGAGCGTTTGCTTGCCATCCCGGCCTCATTTCTCCGCAGTATGGAATGGTTTCCATAGCAAACCGTGGTGACCCCACAAGCCCTGGGAGGGGCAGGCTGCATCCACAGGAGACACATTGCGGGAAAGACACGCACACATTTTTGTCCCCAGCCACACGTACTATTAAACACATCTAGGCAACCAGGCGGCAGGGGAAGAGAATGGAGGCGCTTCACTTCTATGCCAACTGCCAAGGAAAAGGAAAGGAGCCAGGCATGGGGAGACACACCTGTCATCCCGGCACTCGGGAGGCTGAGGCAGGAGGATCCCAAGTGTCACATCCTGGCTCCAGTGCAGATCCCTCAGCCTGCTGCCACAGATCCTTCATCCCGCTGGCACAGACTTTCTAGCTTCCACCACTGACCTTTGGGCCTTTCCAGCTCAGATCCATGAAGCAGGCCTGCGGGAGACATTGTTGTGGGCTCTGGGCCTCCAGTTGGATTCATGGGGGGTTGTTACAGGCTGTGGGTCTTCAGCTGGACTCGTGCAGGACACTGCCGTGGGATCCAGGCCCTCGGCTGGATTCTTTGGGTCTTCGGTGTGTGGACAGATTTCCCGCACTCTCTTGTACATGCCTCTTCAGGTGCCTGTTATAAAATAATCTTGTAAACTGTGTGTCCTGCATTGTTTTCCTTGCAGACCTTGACTACAACAGCAGGTGATCATTTCTAGAGCCATCTGCCACGCCAGCCACTTCACGTCCTGTGCTACCTGTGCCCCCGACTGCCCCTAAGTTTCCATCGTGAAACACCCGGTGCCGGGCAGTTCCAAAGCCGCGGAAGTGTAATGGGCTCCTGTTCCAGGGGCTGGGAGTCTGAGTGCGCGGCGCTGGCTGGGTTCTACTTGGTCTCTGGTGAGAACCTTCTCCCTGCGTGGGAGCAGGGCTGAGGGCACCCCAGAGCCACACGGAGCCAGACACGAGCTTGGGTCTCTCCCTCTTAGGCTACGGTTTGGATGTGACATGTCCCCCAACACTCACGCGCTGAAAAGTCGATCCCCAATACAACGATGTTCAGAGGTGTAGCCTTGGGGAGGGGGCGGTAGGGTCACAAGCGTTCTGATCTCAACGGATTCATCCATTTATGGATCAGAACTGAGCAGGTTCCTCTTGGTGGTAACTTGATGGGATTGGGAGACTCCTGGAGAGTGCTGCAGGTGTGAGGCCGCCGACCCCATCTGTGGGTCAGCCCGTCCGTGAGGTCATGGCTGAGGGGACCACGGGGGAGGGGGGTGGGTTGGAAGAAGTGGGTCGCGTGGCCATAACCTCGGAGAGCACGTGTGGTCCCTGGCCCCTTCCTCCCGGCTCTGCTCCTGCCCCCTGCTTCCTGGCTGCCCTGAGCCAAGCAGCTTTGCTCCATCCGGCTAACCATGGACCGAAACCTCTGGAACCATAAGCCAAACCTCTGGAATCTTTTCTCCTGTTCCTCCTTCTCCTCCTTCCTCCTCCCGCTCTTCCCCTTCCCTTTGTCCTTCCCCTGCATTGTAGTTTTTTAGACACAGGGCCTCGCCGTGTAGTTTACGCTGAGCTTGAACTCACCACGTAGCAGGAGCTGGCCTCAAACTCACGGTGCCCCTCGGAGTGCTGGGGTTCCAGGCGTGCTCCACCGCTGTTGGCTTTCTTCCTTTCACGTTATCTCAGGTATTTGGTCACAGTGGTGGAGACCTAGCACCTGCCCTCACGACATCATCCAATCCTCATCTCCTCCACACCCCCACCTCCAGCCATCGTGATCACTATTAATTAAAGTGTCCAACTCTGGAATTTGGAGGGACATCTTCAGACTGTAGCGGGGTCCAACATCCCCTGCCTGGAGACGGGACAGTGGGGGACACACCGTGGATGTAACAGTGACTCCCCCTCCCAGGAGCTTCCCCTCTCCAGTCCCAGTGTGGAAGCGTGAAGCCTTTCCCAGAGTCGCTCTTGACTTCAGATCACTTGGCCCTGACTTTGGGGTGTGCTAGTGTCAGCTGGGTTGGGACAGACAGATTTTGCCAAATGACTGCTTCTCTTCCTATGGCTTCTGGGTCACACAACCCTATTTTATGCTCAGTCCTTTCTCACTTAAGATGTAAGCAATGGCCAGGGCTTGATGGCCCAGGTCTGTCGCTATGGCACCCTGGAAGGCTGAAGCAGGAGGATTCCAAGTTTGAGCTTAGCCTGGATGATTTAGTGACATAAAGAGACACTATCTCAAAATAAAAAAAATAAAAATGGGGAAAGGGCTGGGGATGTAACTCAGTGCAAAGGGACCGGGGTCAATGGCCAGGACTGGAAAAAAAGAGTGAGCAGTGGGGTGGAAGAAACGCCATTGCTCTGTGGGGAAGGTAGATGGGGTCTGCACAGGAAGGAAGGCGCTGACTGCCAGAAGGTCATGGCGAGGGACGGCGGCCAGCTCAAGGTCCTCCAGGCAGGTGAAGGGCAGTGAGGGTCCGAGCTGGGACTCACCCGGGGCCAGCAAGCAGCAGGTGCTCTGCGGTGTGGGTGGAGTCACTGAGAAGCAGACGGGGACAGCGGGGACCGAGGTCCTGGGAGAGGCCTCTCTTGGGTGGGCACAGGGGACAATGAGGGGGCAGCAGCGGGCAGAGGGAGGGAGAAATTTGGGGGCCCCGGGGCAGCTCTGGGGCGGGGCTGGCTCTTCAGTCCGCCCTGGCTGGGTGAAGGGTGGTGGGAACTTCACACCCCAGGCAATGTGCCCCGAGATCCACTTCGGCCGCACCCGGAAGCTGGGCAGGAAGTAGCTCTTCCCCCAAAACATGTGGGAGCGCAGCGGCCTAGCTTCATCCTTGCTCAGGCTTTTTTGTCAGTACTGCGTATGGAGCTCAGGCCCTGTGCACACGGGACAAGTGCTCACCACTGAGCTACATCCCAGCCCTTTTTATTTTTATTTGGAGACAGGGTCTCACTAAGTTGCCCAGGCTGGACTTGAACGTGTAATTCTCCTGCCTCTGCGTCCTGAATAGCTGGGTGCCACGGCTCCCAGCTGTTACTGAGCCCTGTGGGGGACACCTACAGACAGTTTCTTCCAAAGTGCACGTGACTCTCCATAGTGTGTGTGTGTGTGTGCATGTGTGTGTGTGTAGGCAGTGTGTGCCATGTGAGTGTGTGCCACACACATGTGTGTGACAGTGGTGGAGACAGGGACAGGAGGGATATTCTTCCTCTACTCCCCAGCTCGAGGGCCAGCTGCTGATGCCCAGGCTCACTTAGGTCCCTAATGGGACCTTTTTTTTTCCCCTGGTACCGGAAATCGAACTCAGGACCTTGTGCTTAGCGGGTAGGTAGTTGTGCTGCTGAGCCATATCCCTGGCCCCCCTAACGGAACCTTCTCCCTGCCCCTTGTGTCTCTTCACAGCTGCAGCAGTGCACGTGCCCGGGCCTCCTGGCTGTGTGTCGGAACAGATCACAGCCACTTCCGCTCATCCTTGTCTCTATGTCTTTATGTGGCACAAGGCCTGCCTGGCGCTGGACCCATAAACATTTCAAGAACAACCAGATGTGGTGGCGCTTGCCTGTCATCCCAGTACTCTGAGAGGCTAGGGCAGGAGGATCGCTGTGAGTTTGAGGCCAGCCTGGGCTCCACAGTGAGTTCAAGGCCAGCCAGAAGTACATAGTGAGACCCCTGTCTCAGAAAACAAACCAACAAAAAATCAAAACAAAAAAAGAAGAAAGAAAGGAAAGGAGCCAGGTGTGGTGGTGCACACCTGTAATCCCAGCACTCAGGAGGCTGAGGCAGGAGGATTGTTATGAGTTCATGTTCAGCCTGCACTACATACTGAGACCCTGCCTCAAAAAAGAAAAAAGAAAAGAAGGAAAGGAAAGAAAGGAAAGGAAAGGAAAGGAAAGGAAAGGAAAGGAAAGGAAAGGAAAGGAAAGGAAAGAAAAGGAAAGAAAAGGACTACAGTCTCCTCCCCAGAAGCAGTTTTTCACAGGGGTGGGGCAGGCTGGGAAGACGGGCAGTGATGTCACAAGGGTGGCGGGGATGGAAGGTTCCGGAAGGCTGACTGGGGTAGGAGATCCGTTGAGGAGGGGAACCGCCCACCTTCCTGCCTCCCACCACCACCATTTGGGCCCTACCCAGGGGGTGACCAGGCCCTGGACGGGGACAGTGCACCCTCAGGCTTCCAGAAGGGTCACCTGTCACTCATCTTTGCAGAAGGGGAGGACACCTGAGAGGCCAAATGTCTCTGCTGCCTTGGGAAGACTGGGCCTGGGTAGGGCAGCGAGGCCGGTGAACGAGTTGGTGCTTGTGAAACTTTCAGACCAGGACTTGGCGCTTAGAAAAGACCCGTGTGTGTGGTTCTTCTGTGTATTTTAACCTTAATTATATATTTATTTATTTATTTATTTAAATTTTTTCTGTGGTACCCAGGGCCTTCACACTGAGCTCCATCCCTAGCTCTTTATTTATTTTTAAAATTTGAGATAGGGTCTCTCTAAATTGCTAAGTTGCCCAGGCTGGACTCAATTTATGATCCTCCTCCCTCAGCTTCCTGAATAGCTTTATCTCCTAAATAATATGATATATTGGCTTTTTAATATAGGGTCTCTCTATGTAGTCCAGGATGGCCTTGAACTCTTTGTGATTCTCTTGCCTCAGCCTCCCGAGTGCTGGAATTATAGGCATGTACCACCATGCTCAGCTGTTTTTCTATTTTTGAAAGTCACTTCTGGGCTGGGAATATAGCTCAGTGGCATAAGCGCTTGTCTGGCAAGCCTGAGGTCATGAGTTTGATTCCCGGTACCAAAAAAAAAAGTCATTTCTGTTTTGTTTTAGAATGATCTAACTGTGTCATTTGCTCACTTTCTCATTGAGTTTTAACCTGTTTCTTATTGTTTCCTCAAAGCTCTTTACATATGAAAGAAATTGAACCTTTATTTATTAGATGTTTTGCCTCTGTTTTCCCATTTCTTTTTCTTTCTTGTTTCTATTTCCTAAAAAAGTGTAACAATTATTTTCATAGTGTTCATATTATATCAAGTGTTATAAGTCACCTAGGAATCATTTAAAGTCTATGGCACTGCCACACCTCAGTGAAGGGAGTCATTGGTGAGGCGGTAATATGCTATTTTTGACAACCCTTAGGCTGTAACTACTTGTTAGATCGTTCTTGCGTATCTCTGTCTTCCTGAGAAACCACTTTGAAGATACCAAAGTATAGTACAACAACCATCGATAATCTCCTACCTCTTTTGCCTGTAACTCACTATTATTTGTCTATTTGTTTTCCTGAGAAACTATTTTGTAGATAACAATATGCAAAACAACAACCATTGATAATTTCCTACCACTTTGTCTGTAACTCAGTAAACTCCCCTATTACTATGTTATCTTTCTTTTACTCTTTAAAATAAATAAATAAAACTACATTGAAGATATCAATATGTAATACAATAAGCATTGTTAATTCCCTACCACTCTGTTTGTAACTCTGTAATGTCTGTACTGATCCTATGCTATTTTGTAAAATGTTGTTGGTCTGTTAGTATTTTCCTCCTTTTATTTCTAAAATAAAAATAAATAAATAAATAAAAAGCCTATGGCAAACCGGGCATGGTGGCACACACCTGTAATCTCAGCACTCGGGAGACTGAGGCAGGAGGATGGTTGTGAGTTCAAGGCCAGCCTGGGCTACAAAGTGAGCTCAAGACTAGCCTGAACTGCATAGTAAGACCTTGTCTCAAAAAGACATAAATAAATAAATAAATAAATAAAGCCAATGCAGAAGCCAGGCATGGTGGTGCATGCCTGTAATCCCAGCACTTGAGAGGCTGAGGCAGGAGGATCACCTCTTGTTCTAGGTGAGCCTGGGCTACATAGTGAGTTCAAGGCCAGTCTGAGCTACATAGCAAGACCTGTCTCAAACAACCAAAATTAGGTAATAAATCAAGCCTATGGTGGAATGTACATAGGTTGTATTAGAGCTCTGTACCATTTATGTGAGGAACTTAAGTATCTTAAGATCTTGGTGTCTGCAGGAGGCTCAGGAACCCCCCAACACCCCTTACAAACACCAAAGCATGACTATATTATCTTTTTTTATGTTATGAGGATTGAACCCAGATACTTTTCACTGAGCTCTATTCCCAGCCTTGTAAATTCTTTTTCTAAGACACGCTCTTGCTAAGTTAAGTAGGCTCGACTGGAACTTGTAATCCTCCTGTCTCAGCCTCCCAGGAATCTGGGATAGCATTAAGACAAGTGGACCGGAGCCGATAAATGTGGTCCCGTGACAGTTGCTTTTTTCTGAGAGACTTCAAAACATTTTCCCAATCATGGGGTTACCTATAGACCTAGCCCTTATATTCTAATCATTTGAAAGCCTCAACAGGTGTGGCGGTGGCACAGTGCCAGCATTCTGGGATGCTAAAGCAGGAGGATCACAAGTCTGAGCTGAGCTTGGGCAACTTACAGGAGGGGACCCTGTGTCAAAAAAGTGGTGAGGAGCTAGGTCAGTGCTAAGGTCCTGAGTTCAATCTAGGTCACTGCTAAGGTCCTGAGTTCAATCTCCAGTACTTTAAAGAAAACCAGCCAAGCAAAAAAGCAGAACCTCCTTGGAAACACACAGATTGAACCCTCTGAGCTTTACAAATCTGGGCTATGGCACACACTCCATCCTCTTCTCCTCCTGAGTCCCAGACAGGCATGACTAATCAATCCTAGGACTCTAGGCAGACATGTCAGCTGATATGAGTTGGTCCATCTTTGCTAAGTTCCCCATTTGTTTTCCCCTGCAGAACTGTGAAGAATAATCACTGAGAACCTGGAAGGGCTGAAACCCCAGTGACTCAGGAAAAGCAAGCTGAGTACCGTGAAGTAAATATGAGTGAAATACAAGGTACGTTCCTCCAGACAGCATGGAGGAGGGGCATGTGGATGCCAAAAGGGACCCACCATTCTTTGCCTGAGACTCTGACCCTGTTGAAGGTATGGTGGGATCCTACAGTACACGAGCATCAGGCAGCACAGAGCCAGGTCGGATCCCTCAGAGGTGAAGCCTGGGAACCACGTGACGTTGGCAAGAGATTTTTTTTCTTTTTACCCTTGCTTTTTTGAGATAGGGTCTCACTATGTAACCCAGGCTGGCCTTGATCTTGTGGTGATCCCCCTGCCTCAGCCTCTCAGAGTGATTACAGACACGTGCCACTTGGCCCGGCAATTCAGGGTCATCCCGTGATGGACATTTCATAGCCGTAACTGAACTCAAGGGCATCGTGTGGTCCCAAACAGTTACTTCGCTCACGGCTTCCTGTTTAAAGCGGAGCAACATTAGCAAAAATGAGAAGTTTCACGACCCCTCTTTCTCAGATAGCGAAAACATTCAAAAGTCTCATGTGAATCATGATCTTCATTTCCTGGGGTACCGAAATGATGTGCCACAGACTGGAACCACAGAGATTTGCAGTTCAAGACCAAGGTTTGGCAGGGCTGACACCTTTCAGAGCATCTGAGGGAGAATCTGTCCCAGGCCATCTGTCACCAGCTCCTGGTGGGCCACCTCCACCTGTTTTTTAGTTTTTCTTTTGTCTTGTTTTGTTTTGTTTTAAAGAGTAAAGGAAGGATAACATAGTAATGGGGCTTATCAAATTACAGACAAAGTGGTAGGAAATTATCAATGGTTATTGTTTTGCATATTGTTATCTACAAAATAGTTTCTCAGGAAAACAAATAGACAAATAATAGTGAGTTACAGACAAAAGAGGTAGGAGATTATCAAGAGTTGTTGTACTATACTTTGGCAATTTCAAGGTGGCTTCTAGGGCCAATAAATACAGCTATACACGACTGACCTCCTCAATAATCATGAACTATTTGAATGGCTGTGGTAGGAAACA